GGAGAGCATCTGGGAAAATGATAAATTCTACCCTAGACCAATGTGTAACATAAAGTGTAATAGAACATTAGGGTTTCATTTTGATATTATATATATATATATATATATATATATAATGCTACACATTTATTTTTTTTATATAAATATGTATGTATGTAACTATGTACGTACGTATGTATGTATATATGTTTGTAAGGTCCTAAGAATTCGATATATATTGTTTTATGCTAAAATTGAAAAAAAAAGGAATAAAATCAATTAGATAAAGTTAAAAAAAATAATATGCTTTTTTTGTATTGTCATATCACATCACGAAACTATAAAAAGTCGCATCTAACTGGAAAAAAAAAAGATACCAAACTCGATTGCACAAAAGTCAAAGACTCAGAGCACTCATCTCTTCAACCCAAAGTCATAATCAACAATATAACATTATACTATATGATATTTCACGTCATAAATTAGAAAAAAGGGCTCAAATTTGTTAAGATATTCCAACTCACCGATATAGTTTCCATAATCATGTAACTGAAAAAATTAGCATTAAACAAATTTATTATGTCTTGCCAAATTATTACAAGGTTGCAGAGAACACAAAACCAATCTCAAGAATCAGAATGCAAACTCTCTTTATTCAAGAAGAAAAAAAAAACTTAAAAATTTGGAGGAAGAAGAAAAAAACCACGTAAAAATGTTCATGCAGACACGTACAAATCCATGCAGGACCGATGCATCCTTAGGTTAATATCCGATCACATTCTAAGAAAAATATAACAAGAATCGAAAAAAGATAAAGAGTTTTGATTTGTGATTCACTCAATCCCGAACAACTTCCTGAGTTTGAGGACTTGTCGGTACACTTTCTCTGGTTCAGGCAGTGATTTGGAGACACTTTCACGTTCAAGAAGACATCTTTTGCCCCAAGCAAATAGCTTCGGACACTCAGATTCAACAGAGAAGTTACCGACCTTCTCGAGGGCATAGAACCAGCTGTAGAATGGGACGAGGGTTATGTCTACATACCCGAATGAATCTCCTCCGAAATAGGCTTTATCGCCTAGCTCGGTTTCTAGAACCTTCAAGCTCTCGAGAAGTTCTTTCTTGCCTTGTTCCTGCTCTTCCCCTTTCGTTCCCCATATCTTCCTTCCCGCTTCGAATGATACCTTCATCAATGCACAAAACTTCATAGTTCAAGACGATAGTAGACGTTACCGGCTTGAAAAACCCTAACCAAAACCTTAACTTTTCAAACCAGATCTCAACAGTTATCTTTCATTATCTTCTATAATGCAGAGAAAAGGGTGAGATTGTTTACCTTTTTGTCCGCATAATCTGCCCAGAACCTTGCTTGAGATCTCTGGTAAGGATCAGATGGAAAGAAAGAACCGGTCTTTGACCAAGTCTCGTCGATGTACTGAACCTGAACGAGTGATTCGCAGATGGGTTTATCGTCATGGATAAGGACAGGCACTTTCTTGTGGACAGGGTTCGACTTCAAGAGCAGTTCACTCTTGTTCCACAGATCTTCCTGTCGTGTCTCGAACTCAACTCCCTTCTCCGCCAACGCAATCTTCGTCCTCATCCCGTACGGACTCGCCCAGAAGTCCAAAACCACCACATTGTCTTTTCCCATTGTTGTTTCTTTTCACCACATTGAATCTGTGTATGTATGTATACATGTATATATACTGACGTAGCGAAGTGGAAGTGGTGGAGACGTGACAGGCTTCTCGCTTGGCTTCTGAATATTTTAATTTTGGGTACTTAGTCTCTGAGCTGGATTTTGGGTGCTTGTGGATTGCACGACCACGACACTGATCCGAGTCGTCTTCCCGAGTTTGCCGGGTCAACCGGTGAATGGCGGACTTACTCATGGCTAAACTTTTTCCATTATCCCGATCTCAACGGATCTGGGTTTGTAATAAAACCGTACTCTTTTATTTTATATATCCACAAAGTTGTTGACTTTCATGGAGTTTTCAATATTTTTACCTAGTTTTATAAACCCACATCCTAAATTTCTAATATTTCACCATATAATGCTTCCAGAAAGAATGGATCCACACAAAAGATCAAACTGTGTTGGCCCATTCGACCAAGTTCTATCTTCTTTGGGATGGGTATCTCCATATAGACCAGAGGAGATTGTCTTTTGTAGAATTCTTGCTCAATGATCTAACAAACAAGAATATACCGAACACACTTCATCCTAGTTAAAGCAGGAAACAAATGACCGAGTTTTCGGGCAGATGCAGGCCTCGGACTCAGTATACTTGTATAGACAATAGTATCAGTACACATATAATTTTCATTCTTATTGAACGTAAATATTTACCATTTTGGTTCCCCAGTCTTCGTTTTCTCTATCTGATACTTGAAGAGCATTCACTTGTTCGGCTTGAGTTTCAAAGAAGCACTGCAAGGCCCAAAGGCCAGTTAGAGAAAGCTCGAATCAAGACTTGTTCGATAAGGGTGTTTATGTACGAAACCTACAAAAGGTTAAGCACCGACCTGTTGATACAAAAACGTTTTCCAGTTGGAGGGGGTCCATCGTCAAAGACATGGCCAAGGTGGGCATCACAAATAGCGCAAAGTACTTCTTGTCTTGGCATGAAGATAATAGAGAGGTCTAACTTGGTCTTCACATTGTCTCCTATAGGCTTGTAATAAGACGGCCACCCTGTTCCACTATCAAACTTTGTCGATGATCTGCAGGATTATCAATTGGGTCAAGTTATTACCATCATCATATACGAGAATTTTAACTCTTCCATTTGCAGCCAGACAGACAGTATCTAGCCTCAAGTTCTGCTGAGATTCGATCCTGATAATGGGTTTAGGCTCATGCCCGAGCAAGATTTGTAGATGTAATCTCTGATTGGCTGTGCATATACAGTTTAACATGTGCCACCAAGATAAAAGTATAACCTATGCATAGAAATACAAATTCACATTTCAGTAAAAGTACTAACTCAAACAGAGGCGTGTCACAGCATATGCAATGGTACACTCCTGGTGTTTTCGTGTCCCAGTACTCCCTGGAAACCAAGAAAAAAGCTCGTTACATGAACCGAGCATTATGTGTGAAACCGCAACTCTATATATTGAAAAGATAAAAGAGGGATTTGAAAACATATTCTCGAAAAGGAAAGCCTCAAAATTACATTCCAGAAGAGGGTAAGTAATCTTTTTTTTTGTTTCTAATCGAGACGTTAAAAGTGATGAACTTTGATGAGCGCATGTACCCGGTAAAGGCTCGCTCTGTCCCCTTCTGCCGGGTGATGTAATACTGCTCCGACGTGAGCTGTTTCTTCCATTCATCTTCGTTTAGAGAAGTAAAGTCATTCTTCCTGGTATCTGAAACAGAACATATAATGTAATGCCATACTCTTAAGTCTCTTTTACTGCCTTATAGGAAGATGACAATCTGCGAGTAATCTTTCCTTCAAGGGCTAAGGTCTAAGAAACGGAAGATGGAAAAAGTAATAGCTCCCCTCCCGGTTCCTTCCACTAACTTCTCACATCCAATTGAATAGCCATTGAAAATGTCTCTGATTTCTCACATACAGAAACCCTTTTGCATTTGCAGTCGATTTCGACTCAAACGAAACACGCCAAAAGTTTGAATCCTCACTTCAATAGAACAAATGAAACTAAAAAGCGCGAGACCTTTTCGTTCATTCGGGACTAAGTTTTCTTCCGAGATCCTATCAGAAGCATAGATACGGATAAAATCATGGAAAGAAAGCCGATTCATGGAAAAGGTCGAAAGAAAACTGGGATTAAGAGTAAATCTGTCGAACATACCACACAAATAGATTCGATTACAGACAAGAACATCGACCGAGCGAAAGGTAAACGAATAACAGGAGAGAATTGGAGCAAAAACCTTGGACATTGTCGGGCTTCTGAGAAGAAGCAGAGGAACCCATCGCTGAAACAGAAAGACGATGGTTTCTGGGTCTTGCAAGAGAACCACAAGCGAAACCAGAAACCTTCGGTTTGGGTAATGAATTGAGTCTCGCTCTCGTAGAGACTACGGTCGCTTGTACGCTTAAACCACGAGATGCCATTTCCGATTCTTTTTTTTTTTTTTTTCTCAAACTGGTCTAACAAAAATAAAAATAAAAAACGAAAATCTCTATCCAGAAAATTTCCAGAAATAACACGTGGCATCACCAGGAAGCGAGTCAAGGTTTGGATCTCTAGTAGCCACGTCAACACCTTAGCGAAGTAGTTGTAGAGACCTAAACCTCTAGGTAGGGAAGAGGATACTGACACAATCAAGAACGAAGCTTGCGTCATCACTAACCCTCCAGACGAGGAAGAGGTCGCGGACATCTACAAGGATGGAGATGGCAAATGGATAAACCCAGCCCGTTTATTGAAGGGTTAATGAACCCAAACCCAACTCATAAAGGTTTCCAAGGGGGTTTTAGCAGTTATAACGTTGAGGTTGTGATTGTGAATGACGATATTTTTAGAATATTTATAAATGCTTAGTACTAACTAGTTGATAAGTTATTGTTGACAATGGTTGCGGGTGAAAATAATTAGGATTGAATGATTCGTTGCGATTGTGGTTGCATTTTAATATAAATTATAAAATTGATACTATTTTAAAATACCTTTTTATCGATAGTTGTAATTAAATTTTTAATATCATTTAATAAAAATTATTTTCTAAATTTATAATAATTAAATAATAAATTTAAATAAATATTATTAATTTAATATATTTTTAAATAAAAGATAATTTTATTATAATAATTATTAAATCTAAAAATTATATAATTATATGATAGTATTGTATTTTTTTTAATTAAAATCTATATATATAAATAATTATATTTAAAAGTTTCTCATGAAACCACATCATCATCTTATGTTATTGTGACAGTTTTTTATATATTTTTTATTGGTTTTACTCATTATCTATGCCGTGATAAGTTTCTCAATGTTCATGGGTTGATTAATTTTTTTTATTTTCATTGAAAATAGGATTTTTGAAAAACTTAAGTACTACATATAATTAAAAAATATCAACAAATTATAATAGTTTAAAAAACAAAAAGGTTCATCTTTATTATATAAAAATCAGTTTGGACCCTAATTTTATATATTAAAATGATAATATTTTACCAAGATCATAGTAAAATAAAAACACATAATTTTATTTATATTAGAGTTATATACATTTGTAAATTTAACTTGAATATAAAAATGATTAAATTTCAATAAATATTTTAATGTAATTTTAAAATAAAGAATCCATTTTGATCTTATTATTAAGATTTTTAATAATAAATAAACATGGTCAACTCCAACGTGGTATTCATTCGTTGTAGTCATCAGTCCTTAATCCCCATTTATTATTTTTTTGTAATTAATTCTATTTTAATGTATTATTATTTATATTTAAAAATTTTTGTTATTTAATTTTTTTGTTATTTTAATGGTTTTATCTTAGTATAAAATAAAAAATAAAATACTATATTAAAATCTTGTGGTGTACTTTAAAGTCCAAATTCGGCAGTAAACAATACTTTTATCCTGATCTTCCAAAGGGTACCAAATTTCTCAGTTTGACATTCCTATTGCATCCGGCGGGTATGTTGACTTGGACCTTCCGGTTGAATCTGGTGGTGGGCGTACGAGATTTGGCAAACTACTCCATTCAGACAAACTACTCCATTCAGACAATGGAGATTACTCTCAGCCATGGAAGTTGTAGTGGTTTCTCACCACGAACCCTCACCGATTCACTCCGAATCCCTCGTGTGAACCAAGATCGAAAAGGAAAGAGACACAGAGAAGTTACGAATTCAGCACCGAGCATAAAGCTCGGACCTACATCTCGGAAAGAGGAAGCCGCGTTCATAGCTAGGATTACAACAAAGGAAGGTCACCGGACACCGTCGAACGGCGTCCGCAAACCGCGAGCCCAAGCTCGCCAGGCGAGAGAGAAAAACTCTGCCGAAAAACCTAATAATCAAATAATACCCAAAACATAAACCCTTAGGGTTTCATTTACAGCGCAGGCAAAGACAATAATGTCCTTCCACGTTTTTTCAAACCTTCTGCTTCATGCAGAAGTTCTCGAAACCTTCCACCTCTGCAGGGTTTGCAGAGATCCATCAGAAGTTTTTGTTCTTTCTTACTAATCCTTTATCTGTTTTATATGCAAATCTAAAAAGTGTAGTCTTTTATATGTTCTCCATTCTGTATTTAGGATTCCATTGTCCCCTCTTGGGGTTTTAGCTTTTAGCTCTCTATTGTTTGAGTTTTTAGGGTATTGAAAATGCTTTGGCTCTGGTTATCTTATGGTTGTCCCATATTGCTTATAAGAATTTTCCCATATAATGCAGGTTGATTTGAATAGAGCATGTGTTCCATTGCTGGAAATTGTTCTCCCATTGCCGAATTTTCACTTTCTTGTCATCCACTGATGATATGTGTTGTACAGTTTGCTGATTTGACCTCGAACTCTCTTTTCGCAGGTGGAGATAAAAGAACTTGAACTTGTTTTCTTCCATTAACGCGGCTATCGACTTTGAGATCGAGAGGCAAGCACGTCGAGCCAAAGTGACCAGATCATGTCTGAAACCCGACTTTGGGAAGAAGGATCTGCTCAGGTTCTATCTGAAGCTCTAATTCCAATTCTGCTACATGTTAATCAAATCTTTTCTTTTCTTACCAGCAAATTAATCCATTTTAGACGTTTTGAATCAACGATCAGAAACCGGCAACGATGAGGAAAAAAGGTAATTACCGATATTTTCCGGAGCCAGATCTTCCGGAAGTGATTCTCACGCAAGAATATGTTGATAGCATCCAGTCTTCTTTACCCGAACTTCATGAAGCCAAACGCGGGCGATATGAGGCAATGGGCCTAAGCATGCACGATGCGCTTTTCCTTGCAAATGACACAAGTGAAGCCCTAAATGGTGATGACAATACGAACAATTCAATCATTACAAGTCGTATTTTGGTGTAATATCTTTGTTGGGAATTTGCAGACGCGGTCATTGCCAAACGTGTTGAAGTGAAGCTGGCTGGATAGTGGCCTGCTTGAAAAACGAAAAGCTTTCGATCAATGACATCAAACTTACTGCCCAAGAGTCGGTCGAGCTCATAACTGCAATAAAAGATGGAACCATTAGTGGAAACTGCTTTCCCATCGTATGAGTAGTTTCCTGCATTTGGAAATGCTCTTGAATTTTTTTTTAAAAGATTTTGTCGAAATTGGTCTCCTAAAATTAACAAAACACCAAACAAACGGTGTGACAGCGAATCGTGATGTGATCTATGTCCTGAAATTTCTGATCTTTCTCCAATCCATTAGAAAAAAAAACCGTCTCGGGAATCGATGGCTGCTCTCTCGCACGCCATGTTCGAACAGGACGCCCACATCGTGGAAGAACACTTTCTCGAATTTCCTCAGATTACCGAGCTTCCTCTCGTCTTCTTCTCCTTCCGTATCCTTCAATTCATCGGGTGGATCCTCATCATCGTGATTCAATGTCTCTTTCCATACCATGAAACTGATAACTATGATTATGCACGATATCAAAACAGGGCAGGTAAAATATGCAGAAAAGGAACGAGATAAAAGCATATGCATGATGAGAACCATTTTTATCATAAAAAAATCAGAGAGAATGATAAAGCTGGCGTTTTCTGGATGACAGATCCAGACGGCCTGGAAGGTCTCTAAGAGGTTCTAAAGGAATAGATACAGCAGAGTATTTGATCGAGAACTGCAAGTGTACCTGTGTTGGTGTGCAGAAGAAGGGCCAGAACGGGGCTGCATTCTCAACACCTAGACCCACAAGAACTTCTGGCTCTTAGCCTGACCGCGAACTGCAAGTGTACCTGTGTTGGTGTGCAGAAGAAGGGCCAGAACGAGGCTACATTCTCAACACCTAGACCCACAAGAACTTCTGGCTCTTAGCCTGACCGCGAACGAGCAGCTACCGGTCCTCCTCTCCTCTTCTTTACCTGTTTCTTTCTTTCCTCTACAATCTAACAATGAAGCATTTCGTGGAAAGTGGTAAGCTGCAAATATCTAAATCGTAAGGCAACCTGCAACAAACAGAACAGTGAGAACCGGACTAAAAGACAGAGACTTTAGCCATAAGTGGAAGAGAAGGATTTGAGAGAGAGATAGATAGAGAAGCCTAGTATAAGTAGATGTCAAATAAATATTTTCATTACCATTGAAAAAGAATGCAGAGGAAGAACACAAACACAGTACTTGATTCCTAGTTCTGCTCTCACCCAGTATAGAAACTTACTTAGAAAGTATGATATACAAGAGAAAAGACAACATGACCTCAAAGTTTGTGTTGCATGCGTAGTTCTAGAGGATTAATAACATTTGGAACTGCATGTCCATCTAATTTTCATGGATGCATACCATCTCCTAACCCTCCTGCTCCATTAGCTGCTTTTCCAGCCATTCCAGCTTTTATGGTGGCGGGAGCCCTTTGCTCCATTAGCTGCTTTTCCAGCCATTCCAGCTTTTATGGTGGCGGTAGCCATTCTTTGTAGTTTCAGGATTCCAATACGCTTGGAAACAACATATAGGACAGCACAAGAGAAAAGGAGAAATCCAACTGCAAGAATTAACCTGTTGGGAGAGCCCAAAAGAAAAAAGTAAAGAAACTTGCAATGAGCCAGAATTCATCTATGGAAGTAACTGTGCAGAACCTAATCCTTACAATACCTGTCGATTACATCTTGGCGTTGCATTGTCGAAAGTAGATTCCTGGTCCTCGACAACAATGACCGATGTCCCTTGTATTCACTCTCAGCCTTTCTAAGTACTCCGGTAGATTCCTCTGTGAATTTAAGTACACATAAATCATTTTCACCATACACCTCACCATTCGGAAACATCAAATGAAGTGTGTTTAATCACCATGTAGAAAATGATGATACTTGGAAGCCATGCATGCCATGGAACTTATTTATAATGCGACAAATTTCAAACTGTATTGAGTACCTAAGCATATTTTTCAACTATTACGCAAGAATGACATACCAGAAAGCATGAGTGTGTTTGTACTTCTTTCGACCTCCTGTACCCACAAAAGTTCAGAGAACAAGTTTGATCAACCGATTTGCTAATCTTTTGTTTGATAAGAAGCAACAAAGCAAAAAGAAAATGCAAGAGCAATATAAATAATCTTAGCTATTCTGACCTGAACCATCAGCTGTCGTGTCCGCCGGAGACTTTCACTGATGCTTTCAGCAGCTGATGTCATGCCAGCCTTTGTCCTAAAAGCAACCAAGAATTGTATAGTTATGGAAAACAAAAGATAACAAAAATAAAACAAAAAGAATTATCAAATCCTAACATTTTCCCACAACTGCCCTGAAGATTTCAACAAGGTATTCGTGCAGATGGAATTCAGTGGGAAGGTACATACTGTAGGTTACGTCTGCGAACTGTGGACTCCGTTCCGCCACCCAGAAGAAGCTCTCTCTACAATCACCACAGAGGAAGAAGACTATTTATGTAATTAACCATGCTTGAAATAAGAAATGCAAAAAGGTAACTATTAAGGTTTTCTACTTGACTGAAAAGCTCAGGGCAAACCTTCTGCATTCAGGCGAGAACCCGAAATGGAAAATGGAATAATTACCAAGCAAAATCAACTAATCAACACATAGCGGAGAAGTATTCATGCAAGGCCATAGTCCCTACCTCTTCCTGAGCAGCTTTCCTTTTGTTATCCTTTGCTTGCAAGTTAGCATTTCTAAGATGTATCCGTAAACTGACCACAAACACAGAAACCCGGATTCCTTAGGCCAATCGACAACATAATAACCAAAAACATAGCTCTTAGTTTCACTACTTACTATTGAAAAATGTTTTCCCCTCTTGACCTATAAACCTTGACAGAGGATACACAAAACTCAAATGATGTTTCTATTTTTCCTCATTATTTCTCATATCTCATGCTCTCCAACTTCCGTTCTTCGTCGAACTAAAACTCGAAATGCAATCAGAGAATGCACCTATTCCATTTGATCAAGCCAAGGTTCCACTCTCTTCCAAATCAACATTTCTACATAGCATATACAATTTCAGCAGTTCATATTTATTTAGTTTTCTAATACATTTCGACTACAATCAATCCAACAAACGGGCTTCTTCTATTTTCCCAAATACGACCCAATGGTACCAAACTAAGTATCAAAGACTAGTATCCTCAATCCGATACCTGTTGTATCGATTCCTCCATGAATCGAGCAGCGACTGGGTAGATTGAACCTGATCATCGGAAGGAAGTTGAGGAGCGAGAAGATCCAAGTTGAATTGCAGAGAATCGAGGAGAGAGAAACCGTCCTGAGCCAATCCATTGAGCCTCTGCAGCGAAATCTTCCCTCCATCGCCGTCTCCTCCCCTTCTGGATCTGTCGTACTCTTGTATCGCCTTGATGTGCCCGATCGTCTTCTCGTACGTGTCTTCCCATTCTCTCTTCGTCTTCTCCACTGCTTCTGCTACTTCGTCCATGTCTCCGAGATCAATTGCCGTTATGATCTTCGATTTCTCCTGCGAATGTAAAATACGAAAAGTATTGGGTTTTTAAATAAATACATGACAACCATGCGCAAAGGTCTACCGTATTGCGAACCAGCTCAGCATACCGAGAACCTAAGGATATTGAAACAAACAGACGCAAAACTTAGAACATTAGATCTGAAAACAGAAGCAAAACCCATTCTGATACAAAACTCCAAAAACTGGATTCCAATAAACAGATTTCATCATTTCACGGACTATACAAAACTCGAAAACTGGATTCCAACCTCTCTCAAGTTCCATTTCGATCTCTCTTAACTCGAAAACTGGATTCTAATAAACTGAGGGGTGTGTGTACACATATATATATAATACGGTTCAAAAGGAAAATCGAAATCGAATAACTGAGAGGCGAAGAGAGATCGAAAAGGAACCTGAGTGAGGTTGAGAGTCTGACACTCGCAAGGCGGAGACGGAGGAGACTCGGAAATCGAATAACGGAAGAGACCTGAGACGGACACTAGCAAGGCGATGACGGAGAGACCGAACGGCGGAGACGCCGAACAGAGAAAGCAGGAATCGATTTTTGTCTTGTAGAATGAAGAGGAGAGGGGGCCGCAAATGTAAAATGAGATCGCATAGGGTTAGGGGTGTTTTTGTAAGTTTATTAAAAAATTAAGGGTATCTAAGGAGAGTGTGATAAAACATCTCGAGAAGACACTAGCTCAAAGGGCTGCTGATAGGAATAAACTGGCTGTTATCATGTTGCTCGGTGGAATACTGGATCATGGCACCACAGATGAGTTTATAAACCATGATTTGGTGGATATGGTGGATGATTTGGCTTTCTGTGAGAGATTTCCATGGGGACGCTATACATTTGATAGAATGATTGATCAAGTAAGAAAGAGTTTCGGAAGTGGAGGGCCAAAGAAAAAATGGCACTGTCGTGGATTTATAATCCCTCTTATGGTAAGTGTTTTTCACTATGTGTATAAATGAAAAGTACCGTTATTACATTGATTTGTTTTGGAATTTAATATTTACACAATATGGTACAGTTGCTTCCTTTCGAATGCATATCAAATTTGGGTGCCAACGGGATGTACAAAGACGTCGAGGGAGCGGATCCGACGTGTCCCAGAATGTGCAAGAAGTCTGTCAAAGCAAATGTTAGATGGAGTTTCAAGACTGTTATAGACCAGATTGGCACTAAAGCAAAGATACGCAGAAAATAGGACATGGTGTGTTGGTCACAGGTTTCATGGTCACATGGTACCATGTAACTCGATCACATGGTACCATAACCTATTTGGTCACATGGTACCATGTAACTCGGTCACATGGTACCATAACCTATTTGGTCACATGGTACTATTTAACTCGGTCACATGGTACCATAACCTATTTGGTCACATGGTACTATTTAACTGTCACTTGATGCATATGGTAACAATAAGTCTCATCTATTTTTCAGGGAATTAAGAGCATTCTTAAGAAGGAAGCGACAGAAGAAGCTCTTCTTTTTTATGTAGAGGATCTTGATGGAAGTGAAGATCCAACGGTTAAAGTATGGATGCAATATCTTGAGAGGAATCCGGAGAGCATATACTGGAAAAAAATCCATGAAATGGAAATTCGTTCCAGAAAATCTTCAAAGAAAAAGAAGAAGGGAAAAAGCTTGGTAGATGAAGATGAAATAGAAGATGAGGGACGAGAAGAAGAAGAAGAAGAAGAACAAGAACAAGAAGCACAACAATGACAACAACCGCAAGAAGGAGTCATACCACCACAAGGGATACAAAAGGGAGCACAAAGAGTTCACGGAGTGTCAAGTCTCGAAGCACTGAAGACCGAATTGAAGGCCGATTTCAGGGCCGTGGCTAAAGCATCGGAGATGAGAATCATCGATGCTGTGAGAGGGCTTTTAAAGGAGGTTGGACTCCTTGGAAAAGAGGGATTTGTCCCAAGTCCCACAGTGCAGGAGAACCCGATGATAGATCCGGTAGATAAGGACATATCCACGCCCAGGTCCACAGCGACACCCAGGTCCACAGTGCAAGAGATTAGAAAAAGTCCTATTGCGAAAGAAAGAGTTACGACAAGTCCTTTGATGTGTTCTGTCGGTACCGACGAATACTATGATCAAGATGTTGGACTTTTTGAGTTAAGAACGAGAGATGTGACTCCATTGGAGTCAGAAAAAGAGACGACAACTGCCCAGGAGGCATTGGTTACAGAGAAAGAACCGTCTCCTAAGGAGAAAGAGGCATCGAGCAAGGAGAAAGAGCCCTCGCCTAAAGAGGTTGATCTTTCTTCCATGGACGCAGAAGTAGGAAGTAAGTATTCAAACTTTGTCATTTGGTCACATTACTTGATCACATGAGATCATATTTACTTGATCACATGGGACCATAGTTACTTGGTCACATGAAACCATAGTTATTTGGTCACATGAGACCATATTTACTTGGTCACATGGGACCATATTTACTTGGTCACATGGGACCATAGTTACTTGGTCACATGAGACCATATTTACTTGGTCACATGGGACCATAGTTACTTGGTCACATGAGACCATATTTACTTGGTCACATGTTTTAATTAATCTGTGCATATCTTGTGTTTTGTTCAGGAAATGTCCCCGAAGAAGATGCTGAAGAGAATGATAGTGACGATGATGCTGGCAGTGGCGATGAGAACACGGAAGAAGAGGGTGACACCGATGGTGATGAGGGTGAGACAACCGATGAAGATTCTGAAAAGGATGACGCCGATGGCGATGATACCAATGGCGAAGAGGGTGAGGGAACCGACGACGATGATACAACAGCTGAATCTTCTGACAAAGAATCGGCTGCCAAAACCAATGAAGACACAGATATGTCTGCCCCCCCTGTTGAACATGAAGTCAATCAACCTCCACCAACAGTTGACTCCTCTGATACAGAACAGTTGAAAAGAACAAAGAGGAAGCTTACTGATGAACCATCCAAAAGAAGCCCTTATGTAGAACCAACATCAACTGGTCCACCGACCAAAAGACAAAGATCTCAGGCTGTAGGAGGTCGAGGCAGAGGCAGA